AATACAGATGAAAACCATAAACCGATGACGCTTACAGGTAGAACAGATGGAGTGCAACATAATGATACCACTCAGGAGTCCACAGCGTTCTTTAAAAGAAAGATATTTGCAAATGTGATGAAAAACTAACAAAATACGCCTCAAATGGTTCTTTTTGTGCAATTGGACAGTTTATGCAAGGTTTTAGAGCTCTATACACCCTTTTAAACATTGCGCAATAAATACAGATGAAAACCATAAACCGATGACGCTTACAGGTAGAGGAGCTCGAGTGCAACATAATGATACCACTCAGGAGTCCACAGCATTCTTTTAAAGAAAGATATTTGCAAATGTGATGAAAAACTAACAAAAACGCCTTAAATTGTTCTTTTTGTGCAGTTGGACAGTTTATGCAAGATTTTAGAGCTCTATACTCCCTTTTAAACATTGCGCAATAAAAACAGATGAAAACCATAAACCGATGACGCTTACAGGTAGAACAGATGGAGTGCAACATAATGATACCACTCAGGAGTCCACAGCGTTCTTTAAAAGAAAGATATTTGCAAATGTGATGAAAAACTAACAAATACGCCTCAAATGGTTCTTTTTGTGCAATTGGACAGTTTATGCAAGGTTTTAGAGCTCTATACACCCTTTTAAACATTGCGCAATAAATACAGATGAAAACCATAAACCGATGACGCTTACAGGTAGAGGAGCTCGAGTGCAACTTATTGATACCACTCAGGAGTCCACAGCATTCTTTTAAAGAAAGATATTTGCAAATGTGATGAAAAACTAACGAATACGCTTCAAATGGTTCTTTTTGTGCAATTGGACAGTTTTATGCAAGGTTTAGAGCTCTATACACCCTTTTAAACATTGCGCAATAAATACAGATGAAAACCATAAACCGATGACGCTTACAGGTAGAACAGATGGAGTGCAACATAATGATACCACTCAGGAGTCCACAGCGTTCTTTAAAAGAAAGATATTTGCAAATGTGATGAAAAACTAACAAATACGCCTTAAATGGTTCTTTTTGTGCAATTGGACAGTTTTATGCAAGGTTTAGAGCTCTATACACCCTTTTAAACATTGCGCAATAAATACAGATGAAAACCATAAACCGATGACGCTTACAGGTAGAGGAGCTCGAGTGCAACTTAATGATACCACTCAGGAGTCCACAGCATTCTTTTAAAGAAAGATATTTGCAAATGTGATGAAAAACTAACAAAAACGCCTTAAATTGTTCTTTTTGTGCAGTTGGACAGTTTATGCAAGATTTTAGAGCTCTATACACCCTTTTAAACATTGCGCAATAAATACAAATGAAAACCATAAACCGATGGAGCTTACAGGTAGAACAGATGGAGTGCAACATAATGATACCACTCAGGAGTACACAGCGTTCTTTAAAAGAAAGATATTTGCAAATGTGATGAAAAACTAACAAATACGCCTCAAATGGTTCTTTTTGTGCAATTGGACAGTTTATGCAAGGTTTTAGAGCTCTATACACCCTTTTAAACATTGCGCAATAAATACAGATGAAAACCATAAACCGATGACGCTTACAGGTAGAACAGATGGAGTGCAGCATAATGATACCACTCAGGAGTCCACAGCGTTCTTTAAAAGAAAGATATTTGCAAATGTGATGAAAAACTAACAAATACGCCTTAAATGGTTCTTTTTGTGCAAGTGGACAGTTTTATGCAAGGTTTAGAGCTCTATACACCCTTTTAAACATTGCGCAATAAATACAGATGAAAACCATAAACCGATGACGCTTACAGGTAGAGGAGCTCGAGTGCAACTTAATGATACCACTCAGGAGTCCACAGCATTCTTTAAAAGAAAGATATTTGCAAATGTGATGAAAAACTAACAAATACGCCTCAAATGGTTCTTTTTGTGCAATTGGACAGTTTATGCAAGGTTTTAGAGCTCTATACACCCTTTTAAACATTGCGCAATAAATACAGATGAAAACTATAAACCGATGACGCTTACAGGTAGAGGAGCTCGAGTGCAACTTAATGATACCACTCAGGAGTCCACAGCATTCTTTTAAAGAAAGATATTTGCAAATGTGATGAAAAACTAACAAAAACGCCTTAAATTGTTCTTTTTGTGCAGTTGGACAGTTTATGCAAGATTTTAGAGCTCTATACACCCTTTTAAACATTGCGCAATAAATACAGATGAAAACCATAAACCGATGAGCTTACAGGTAGAACAGATGGAGTGCAACATAATGATACCACTCAGGAGTCCACAGCGTTCTTTAAAAGAAAGATATTTGCAAATGTGATGAAAAACTAACAAATACGCCTCAAATGGTTCTTTTTGTGCAATTGGACAGTTTTATGCAAGGTTTAGAGCTCTATACACCCTTTTAAACATTGCGCAATAAATACAGATGAAAACCATAAACCGATGACGCTTACAGGTAGAGGAGCTCGAGTGCAACTTATTGATACCACTCAGGAGTCCACAGCATTCTTTTAAAGAAAGATATTTGCAAATGTGATGAAAAACTAACGAATACGCCTCAAATGGTTCTTTTTGTGCAATTGGACAGTTTTATGCAAGGTTTAGAGCTCTATACACCCTTTTAAACATTGCGCAATAAATACAGATGAAAACCATAAACCGATGACGCTTACAGGTAGAGGAGCTCGAGTGCAACATAATGATACCACTCAGGAGTCCACAGCATTCTTTTAAAGAAAGATATTTGCAAATGTGATGAAAAACTAACAAAAACGCCTTAAATTGTTCTTTTTGTGCAGTTGGACAGTTTATGCAAGATTTTAGAGCTCTATACTCCCTTTTAAACATTGCGCAATAAAAACAGATGAAAACCATAAACCGATGAAGCTTACAGGTAGAACAGATGGAGTGCAACATAATGATACCACTCAGGAGTCCACAGCGTTCTTTAAAAGAAAGATATTTGCAAATGTGATGAAAAACTAACAAATACGCCTCAAATGGTTCTTTTTGTGCAATTGGACAGTTTATGCAAGGTTTTAGAGCTCTATACACCCTTTTAAACATTTAGCAATAAATACAGATGAAAACCATAAACCGATGACGCTTACAGGTAGAGGAGCTCGAGTGCAACTTATTGATACCACTCAGGAGTCCACAGCATTCTTTTAAAGAAAGATATTTGCAAATGTGGTGAAAAACTAACGAATACGCCTCAAATGGTTCTTTTTGTGCAATTGGACAGTTTTATGCAAGGTTTAGAGCTCTATACACCCTTTTAAACATTGCGCAATAAATACAGATGAAAACCATAAACCGATGACGCTTACAGGTAGAACAGATGGAGTGCAGCATAATGATACCACTCAGGAGTCCACAGCGTTCTTTAAAAGAAAGATATTTGCAAATGTGATGAAAAACTAACAAATACGCCTTAAATGGTTCTTTTTGTGCAAGTGGACAGTTTTATGCAAGGTTTAGAGCTCTATACACCCTTTTAAACATTGCGCAATAAATACAGATGAAAACCATAAACCGATGACGCTTACAGGTAGAGGAGCTCGAGTGCAACTTAATGATACCACTCAGGAGTCCACAGCATTCTTTTAAAGAAAGATATTTGCAAATGTGATGAAAAACTAACAAATACGCCTCAAATGGTTCTTTTTGTGCAATTGGACAGTTTATGCAAGGTTTTAGAGCTCTATACACCCTTTTAAACATTGCGCAATAAATACAGATGAAAACCATAAACCGATGACGCTTACAGGTAGAGGAGCTCGAGTGCAACTTATTGATACCACTCAGGAGTCCACAGCGTTCTTTTAAAGAAAGATATTTGCAAATGTGATGAAAAACTAACAAATACGCCTTAAATGGTTCTTTTTGTGCAATTGGACAGTTTATGCAAGGTTTTAGAGCTCTATACACCCTTTTAAACATGGCGCAATAAATACAGATGAAAACCATAAACCGATGACGCTTACAGGTAGAACAGATGGAGTGCAACATAATGATACCACTCAGGAGTCCACAGTGTTCTTTTGAAGAAAGATATTTGCAAATGTGATGAAAAACTAACAAATACGCCTTAAATGGTTCTTTTTGTGCAATTGGACAGTTTATGAAAGGTTTTAGAGCTTTAAACAAACAGAACTTTATTCCTCGCTCATTTTTCCTGATTGAGGTGTCATATGAAAGGGCAGAAACTCAACTTTCTAGAAATGTGAATTTTTCTTTTTGGTTTACTTCCTTCAAATTGCTTTTAATCACTCATGCGTAAAATATGCATCATTTGAGTAGCATCAACTGAAAGAGGAGACTCTAAGCTTTCCAAATATGTATCATTCATAAATTATGGTTGTGATTAAGTTATGATAAAACATCGTTACTTCTCGGTTTCGTTTTTTATGGGACGCACTGTATAACAAATCTGTGTTGTGAGGACCCTACGTCACAAAAAATGCATTTCCCTAGCTTCTCTTGTGCTGACCGTTCTCTGAAGAGCAGAGGGGTTGACAACGCTTGTTGTATCTGCCTCCCTGATGAGGTAGCATTGGTCCTCTTCACCCGCCCTTTAATCTGTTGCTAAGAACAGATTAAAGGTTTTTTATCAAATACAGGATTTACAGAAGAAATGTTCTTCACCGTCTTTTACCCTTAATGTCACCTGAGTTTCCCAAGCTTATCCTTTGCTTGACCGTTCTCTGAAGAGCAGAGGGGTTGACAACGCTTGTTGTATCTGCCTCCCTGATGAGGTAGCATTGGTCCTCTTCACCCGCCCTTTAATCTGTTGCTAAGAACAGATTAAAGGTTTTTTATCAAATACAGGATTTACAGAAGAAATGTTCTTCACCGTCTTTTACCCTTAATGTCACCTGAGTTTCCCAAGCTTATCCTTTGCTTGACCGTTCTCTGAAGAGCAGAGGGGTTGACAACGCTTGTTGTATCTGCCTTCCTGATGAGGTAGCATTGGTCCTCTTACCCCGCCCTTTCTTCCCCTATGCAACAGGCTTGGTGTGATATTTGGGGGTGTGTATAGGCATCCAGGGGACTGGGTTGTAGTAGCTGGGAATGGCGTAGCTTGCCTTGTCATGGTAGCCTACGTGTGAACACAAGTGGTAAAAAATACAGCATTTTTTAATTAAGCTTCTGATAGTGATGTAAAAAGCCATTGGCAGTCAACAGCAGACAAACTATCCTCACATTTACAAGTTTGCTGACTGCAAAATTGTTTTAGGCATAACTATGAACCACCAGTTTTTGCTACGCAGGCGAAACCAAAATTGTATTTTTGTACAGTGGTGTTTGAAATGTTGAGAATCAATAGAACAGTTTTTAATACAGCAGCAATTGGAGCCACAGTTTTCAAATTAAATACGGTAACCCATACAAAGAAACCAATTCAAACCAAATACAGGTTGGGCAACGTCACCCTGGAAGAAGTGCAACACCACCCCTACCTGAATTCAAAGGGACTCGGTTGGGCCACACATATTGACCAAACTTCATCAAATTACATGTAGGCCCAAATTAGAGTTCTATGCAGCTACATGTACAGTACATGGGACCCACAGCAGAAGTCAGACCAGGACAAACTAAACATTCACAACGAGGGACTATGACAGGGAATCAAGTGTTACAAAGATGCTGGAAAATCTAAAATGGGAATCTTTGAAAGTCCGCAGAACCAAAGCCAGACTACCTGCATTGTATAAGGAAACACATAACACATGGATACCCAGCAATATATAAACTTATCTTCTCATTTGAAAATGGTGCTATGGTACATTCTTTATACTCTTTGCATTGCAGCTTTCTTGCATATTTATGCATCCACAACAACCACTGAGCTGATAAGAGTTTTAAGCAACTACCCAAAGGTTGATATTTAAAAACTAGATATCTTCGAAACAATGATATTTCCACCTTTCAATTAACATCAAATACTCCACTTTTGAAATTGATCATGTCTGGTGACGTGGAGCGTAATCCGGGACCTGAACATTCAAATTCGTTACGTTATACACTCAATTGTCTACTACTAAATGCCTGTTCCTTTGGTAATAAACTGAATGACCTGAAAGTGAGTTACTTCCGGTAAAATAGATGGATGAACTCCGATTCCTGCGATGGTGAAATCTTAGATGTACAACAATATCAAATCTTTCGTAAAGACCACAATCACAACGGAGGAGGTGTACTTTTTGCATGAAAACGATTCACGGCTCCGAGTTTGAGATTCCCAGCTGCGAGTTGTTATGGATTCAATTTAGTTTACCACGAAATAAAGTCAAGCTCTTTATGGGTGTATGCTATCTTCCCCCATCATCTAATGCTACCTTCCGTGATGCACTAAATAAGTCCTTTGTTCTTATCCCCCACATATTTCTTCTTTCAAATCCATTATTTTATGCAGTGGTTTCCATATTCATAACTCGGTTCCATTTGAATTGGACTGTAGTCGTGTGCCACAGTTGCTTCCTAGGGTTTTCCATCAATTTCACAAAGCAGATAGCGTACACTATGAACATGACTGACAAAGAAAGCGGACAAAATATACAGTTCTTCAGGTAGACAAAGGAACATCCCTTCACTGCTATTATGTAAAAAATATGTAGAACTGGTGTCACATGCATATTCACCATTTTACATAATAGCAGTGAAGGGAAGTTCCTTTGTCTACCTGAGGAACTGTATATTTTGTCCGCTTTCTTTGTCCGTCATATTCATAGTCGTAGATTTACAGAAAACGATTGAATTTATTACATGGAATCTATTTATTGATGAAGAGAGCATTGATAACACATGTGAACTTCACACTGACTTGTGTTGCAGGCAACAATCAAAGATGTTTATCAAAGGAAATAGTTAGAATATCCAGAAGAAAGAGAAGAGCTTACAGAAGAGCTTTAATACAGGAAAGCAAAGAAAGCAAATAATCACATAATGTACATGTAAAGAGGATTTCCATAACAATAAAACACCTTGCTCTATTGTGTACACTCCAAGACTTTTAAATGCCATTACCAAATCATGCATGCCCAAGTCTTGCCAGTATCATTCTTTGAGTATTTAAATAGAGGAACAGCTGAAAAGTCTTTTATCTATTCACACATTGAAAAGTGATTGTTATAACTTTCACTGATTGTGCATATATTAAGATGCATGGTGGGAAATCAATTCTTCAGGCAATGATTATTCATCAGCTCATCATGTTTATGCATAAGTCACAAGAAATGTTGGTGAGGAGGGGATAAGTTGTACTAACTGTCCTAAAACTCTTTATCTGTTGGTAAGGTATATATGGAGGAGACTGCACTTGTACTTGATGTGACGCCATGTTCACATGCAGGGCCAGATCATCAGTTGGGGGGAAAATGGGGTTAAAATTTGTGGGGTAAGTATATGCTGTATATCTGGCCCTGTTGTCACAGTTCCATGTTAGTAGTTTTCTGCTGGCATGGATCTCCCCTGATCCTCCCCCTGGCAATTTTCTAATATGATAAATCAAAATATATCAAAGCTCTCGACATATCTTGAGCATTTCTCACTCTGTTTAACCATTATTTTTGTGTTTTTGTTGTTTTTGAGACGGTTTTAGTAATGTAGTAATGCTGATGCGTATTGACGTCTAGCGCGGTATACTTGCTGAGAGGCAGCACGATTTGAATTTTCAAAGTATTCTTTCTAACATCATTAAGTTGAAACAAGGGAAACGCTCTCGGCGGTCTCGCCTGCATTACGCAATTTGTTATGATGAAAAATTGAAGTTGGAACATTATTATAGGCAGGGTGGCCCATTAGCAGGCCCCAAAAAATGAAATCCTCTGAATATAATCAGCATTTTGAAGTGAATATTGATTAAGAATCATGAACAAATAACAAAAATTGATTCATTTATTCTCATATTAAGTTGTGAAAACATAATCCAAGGCTACTGACCTAAAATGACCTTTGACCTTGTGACCTGGAATTTGTGAAATATGATTTGTGATACTTGATAACCCTTGGGTATAACTTTCATAGACTTTGAACAAACACTTTTGAAAATATGCTAAAAATTCAAAATCTTGATGTTGATAACACAAACAAGTCGAAGTTTGTTGACCTAAACTCACATGATTGGGGATACTTGAGCACCCTATAGTCCAAGTTTCGTTGACCAAGAACTTATACTTTCAAAATTGTATCAAAAATTAAAAAACTTAACCTTAGGTTAAGTTTTTGATGTTGACGCCGCTTTTTTTTTTTGCTACGCAGGCGAGACAAAAAAGGAAGAGCCAGGTTATTCCTTATGTTATCTATTGTTCTGATAATTTCTCATGTATTTCTTTGTTTTTTAACTTATGTATTTTGTCGTTTCATTTCATTTCTAATAACTATAATTCAACTAATTTGACCCCCCAAATAAGTATAAACAAGACCAAATAACCAATGTTTTATCTCTTTTTTGGAAAAATGAGATTTCCATATGTTTTGTACACAAATCACAAAAATGGGTGATTTGGGCTGACATGCACAGACAAAAGGGTCATGTGACTTTGTCCGTTTTTTGAAAAATCTATTTCAAAAGATGCGCCAGACTTGAATCGATCAGAAAAGGTGTGTACTGCAAGGTTCAGGAATCATCAAAATGATAACAAACGTGGACCAGTTTTGGTAAAGTTACAAGCACTATACACAGAAATATGTATATGCAGGGCTTAAATTAATCCAAGGCCACCAAGGCCATGGATGCCCCTTTGATTGGCCTCAATGCTTGGCCTTGGAGATTTTTTGTGCCCTTTCCAATTCTTCTTATTTGTGCTGTAATATAGGAATGTGCCCTACAGAAAAGTGGCCTTGCCCTAAAAATGTTGAAATTTAAGGCCTGTATATGGGACTACATGAACATTTGGCGTAAAAATCCGTCCTGATTTTTATGCTGTTACATGAAATATTTAGAATATTAAGGCATTTGAAGAGCCATGCTTTTCAGGAAACATTTGTTATCTGATGTTCTTCTAGACTTGTATAATAACAATGATAATTTATTTATTTATTTATCATTCTTCGTCATCTTTAAAAGTTTACAGCTGATGTGATCTTCACCAGTTGCTTTATCAATACTCGGATTATCAATCTGTTTCAATACAAAATCCTCAGTAATCAAATTCAAATTAAATTGCGAATGAGTTGGACCAATATTATTGTCCTCGTCTAATGCTCACAAATTATTGTTCACCTGTTCCCAGAACTCAACCTTCTCTTTAAGAGAGCCCTGTTTAGCCATAGAAATTGACTACGGGAAGTGGTCTTAATTCTATACTTACTTCACAAACCCACGCTCCCATTATCCACAATAAAATTATACATATAGAGCAATCAAATTTGCATTTGCAAACTCTCCAAAAATCACATGATAATGATAATTAAACAAGTTACACAAAACTTAGGCCTGAAAGAAAAGTAATTTGGTTGTCCTCGACTGCCAGCTCGTCATTTTCGGGCAGCTCATCAAAACATCACCAAACACTAAAAAGATGTAGATGATTGTACTAAGACACACCTCCATACAACATTTGAAAGAAATCTGTCAAGAAATGTGGCAGTTAGAGCGCATTGAAGACATATTTGACCATATAAAAGACGGAACAATGAGGGCAGCTTCACTAAAAGTGTGGATTGGTAGATTCCATGACATTTGCTCCGGCGACAATTGCTCCGCTGTAAATTTCATACACTAATCGAATGGCTAACTTCAACCCTGGATTCAACACTATACCCTACCCTAAACCTAACCCTAAACCTAACATAAAACCCTATTGAAACCCTAACCCTAACCCTACATCTTAGACGAAATAAAGCCCGGAGCAATTGTCGTGTCACCGATTGGTAACAAGATACATTTCTAATTCTCTATACAAAATTTGAAAGAAATCCATCATGAAATATGATCTGCAGAGCGCAAACTAGACACCCACCAAAATATGAACTCTTGACCCTATACAAGACGGAAAACTGGGGGCAGCATCACCAAAATCTATATGCTTGTAGATTATACCAAGATACATCTCTGTTGAAAATTTGAACAAAATCCCTTGAAAAATATGGCCTATAGAGCACACACAAGCCATCCAAAAAATATGGCCTTTTAACCTATAGAAGACGGAACACTGGGGGCAGCATCACCAAGAGTTATAGGTGTGTAGATTATACCATGATACACCTCCATACAAAATTTGAAAGAAATCCGTCAAGGAATGTGGCAGTTAGAGCGCACACAAGAATAAAATAATATGACGCGGCGGCGGCGGCGTAACACTACTGAATCCAAAGTACCCCACCGGCATACTGCCGGGGGATACAATTATTTTAAAGATGTTTTTATACAACCCCTGTATGAATCATATTTTCCCTAACGGTAAACCAATCAGTAAGAAAATGAAAGTTTATAAAATTGGAGAGGAGCTTGCAAGATATGTCACAGTGTTGCCAATTTGTGTTTCAATGATGACAATTTTGAAAATATATAACTTTCTTGTTTCTAGTCGGTTTTTGCTCAAACTTTCACTGACCTGTTTCTCTCATTTTCCTGCTTTTATTAAAAGCAACTTAATATCAGGGTGGACTTCCCCTTTAACACTCACCTTTGCTTTCTCCTGGACTCCCCTCTTCTCTTCTGCTTCAAGTTGTTTCTTTGTCTTCTCTAGCCTCCAGTTGGCTTTTCTCGATTCCTGCTCCTTAGTTGTTCTTTCCTCAATCCACATGTTGACCTTGACCTCAATGACATTAGCTTTCTCCACCTTCATCTTCTGCAATCTTCAGCTGTTTCTCCCTCTGCAGCTTGGCCTAAACTTGATAAAGAGAGAAAAGGAGAGAAAAGAGTGAGTGAGAGTGAGAAAGGGGGAGGAAGGAGAGGGAGAGTAAGAGAGAGAGGAGGGAGAGTGAGAGAGGGGGAAGGGGAGAGGCTGGATAGAGAGAGAGAGAGAGCAAGATAGAGAGGGAGAGAGAGAGCAAGATAGAGAGGGAGAGAGAGAGAGAGAGAGAGAGAGAGAAGATTCAGAATATGGTGAAAAGGTAAGGATCACGACACCTCACCAACAGCTAAGGTAAAGACAATACTCTCAATTTGTGGTCATAAAGGGTGCTAGAAATTCTAGCACCAACTTAAATAACATTTTACATGAAATACCACACTTTAAACAAAATGAAGTTAGCAAAACTTTAAACAATATGCGGCAAACGCTGGTAGCCCTAAGAATAAGTTCGTTAATGAAGACTTAATACAAATATTTATTGGAGATTGCTTAATACAACAAGTTAAACAAACAAAAATTTTAGGAGTTACAATTGATGATAAAATAACATAGAAATTACATATTGATGACATTTGTTCAAAAATTTCTCAAGCCGTAGGGGAAATGAATAGATTAAAAACTGTTGTTCCAATGAGGATTCTTTTAACCCTGTATTACACAATGATTTTACCTTATTTATCATATTGCAATATTGTATGGGGGAACAGTGCAATGTATCTTAGAAATAGAATTGGAGTACTCCAGAAGCGTGCAATACGAGTTATTTGCAATTCACAACCTCTTGCCCACACAACCCCTTTATTTCAACAGTTTAGTATTTTAAAGGTGGATCAAATGTGTAGTTCGCAAATTGCAATTTTTATGTGCTCTTATTTTAAGAACATTTTACCAGATAGTTTTAATAATTATTTCACTTCAAATTGTACAATTCATAGCCATAGTACCAGAAATTCGAATCACTTAAGATTGCCGTTATATAAATATAGTTTCTCTCAAACAACAATTTCTTACACTGGTGTAAAATCCTGGAATTCAATACCAGTAGAGATTAAGAATAGTCCGACACTTTCTAATTTTAGACGTAAATTTAAACTTTATATTTTACATAAAAATAATTCACAAATTTATAGTGGTACAATATAATTTTTTTGTTTGCCTGTTACTTTTGTTTTATCATGTACTGTACGTCGCTATTGTTTGTTTGTTTTGTTTTTTTTATCTTTTTATATATAAAATATCCAAAATATCTAATATTGTTCTTGGGATTAGCTTCGACAGGCCCCTGGCCTTTGTTTGTCCCACCACATGTTTTTTATATCTACATGTATTTAGTTGTTCTTTGTTTAAGGACTTTAGATTTTGTTCGCTATTTGTTTCTCTTAATATTATTGTTTGTTAATTGTGTATTTTGTATATGTCTGAACATGTAGGTCATGTATACTTGTTTTTTATGAACCACATGTGGAAATAAAACTTGAACTTGAACTTGAAAGTTCGATTGTAATTAATCCATTAACACACGGGTGGCCAACATTTTAAAGCTCGCGGGCCACAGCTAACGATACACCCCCCCCCCCCCCACTCAGTGTTATTTAGGGTACGCATATGCGTGTTCCAACCGACCCCCCCCCCCTTTTCAGCAAAAGTCCGGTGTGTAAAGTCAATATGGCTCGACCTTTTTCTTTTGTATACGAGCCTTATTCAGCACCCCCCCCCCCCCCCTTTCAGCAAAAGTCCGGTGTGAAAAGTCAATACGGGTCGACCTTTTTCTTTTGTTACGAAAAGGACATTTTTGCAACACGCATGGGGTCCGTCCGTTCTCGGAGTGGGGGAGCCGGGCGATACACACACACACAACTACACGCAATACGTGTACACACCTGCAATTTTGAAAAAATAAACAAGCAAACAACAAAATCAGGCTTACATTTTTAGTGCGATTTCTGGGGCTTGCACTTTTCTGCAATGTTGTTAACGTTCATTACCTACTTTGGTGACAAAAACGAGGCAAGGTGGTTTAACTTTCTCTTGTATGAAGCAATACTTCAGAGACCAATCTGATTTAAAGTTTCTGCCTTCATCAGAACCTTCCTTGTCGGTGCCATGATAGTTGTTATTTCAAACAAAATCAAGGACACAGCAGAGAAAATATCCTTACTTTATTAGTTGTACACTGTACATCTCATTTGATGCGGTGTAAAGAGAAGAAGACTATCCAGTTTACGATTAAGATTCATGAGAAAATTCAACGGCAAAAGAAAAGGGTTGTAATTGATTCAAGACAATTATGGCATTTCTTGATTCACAACATGTATATTTACAAACTGAGATTAACACGGCGCGTGATGTTAATGTTGTTATTGTAATGTAATGAGAGGAAATTTGAGGAGTTTTGTATCAACCAAAAAACGAATCAGTTATGTGCCATTTTATTATTACTATGTTAATGATCTGTGGACCACACCAAAAGGTTTTTTTTTTTTACATGTATGACCCTTTGATCTTATGACCCTAAAATCTAATCAGTTCAATGGCTCTGCAAGAAACATACATGTCCCGAGTTTGATAGTAATCCATTCGTCAGTTCTAATAAGAAGGCGTTCACAAGCTAGTTTTGCATACATAATGAGCCCCATGACCTTAGACCTCATGACCCCAAAATCTACTCAGTCCATTGGCTCTGCAAGATAAATACAGGTTTTGAGTTTGATGGTAATCTGTTCATCGGTTCTAATGATAATGTGATCATAAGCTATTTTTGCATACATAATGAGCCCTGTGATCTTTGACCGTTGACCTCAAAATCTAATCAAATCATTGGCTCTGCCAGATACATACATGGTTTAAGTTTGGCAGGAATCCATTCATCGGTTCTTGAGATAACGCGATCACGAGAACGGGACGTATGGATGGACGGACGGACAATCCAAAAACATAATGCCTCCGGCTACTTCGTAACGGAGGCACAACAATTCACCGCACACCCAATGAATTTAATATTTAAAGGGAAATCCCACCAAGGCGTTGTGGCGTGCCCCTGTAATCCAGCTAACAATTGAAGTTACAAACTGATTCAGCCGAGGAAGCAGGTTTGAAACTGACTCACGTCTTTCGGATAGTGACGTTAAAGGTCGGTCGTAAATAACCATATCTGATTGATACACGTCTGTAAAAACCCAATAGACACACACACACACACACCAAATAGACAACTTATCTAAAAGAAAGCAGAAAATCAGAGAAGCAAACTGATGAAAGTTTCAATTAAATCTAAATATAAGAAACTTATGAATTTTTGAAAGTTGTTATCACTAGTACTTTCCTATGTGTTCCAACATACACTGTTGGTCATAATGGTGGAATAATTATTTTTACCCCAATTTATGAACTGATTTTCACAATGATTTATTTCTAATAGATCTAAATAATAGTATACATTCTCAGATTCTATTGAATATTAATTTGTGAGCGTTTGTTTTACGTGCCTGCTAAAGCATGTGTGTGCTACTATGCTAATCAACTAGGGGACCTACGTCCTTAAGTCATAACAGACAGTAATGAGGATTAATGCCTCACAAAAGGGCACTCATAGCGAGCTTTTGATTTGGGCACCCGACGTCGGCTACTACGAGGTACTGGAGCGTGGAGACGTTGCGCAGCTCACGTCCGTTCCCTTCGCGTCAGTGCTCTTGATTTTTCACGTCGGTGCTATCACGTGACCAATTTTTTTAGATCAGGTGATTCAACAGGTAATAAATTCACAGTGCGCGAAAATCTGATACGAAGAATAGCATGAGGATGACAGAAAAAGAAAGTTAAAATGATAAAACAAAAAAACATGAGAAAAGGTGATAGAAGAATAAAAAAAAATGACAACATAAGGAGAGACAGAAAGAGAAAGTAATATAATAATAAAGAATTACATTGGAGGAGGTGGTAGAAGGAAGAAACAAAGAATAACATAAGGAAAGACAGAAAGAGGAAGTGATAGAATGGTAAAACAAAGAATAACATAAAAGAAGGTGATAGAAGGAAGAAACAAACAATAACATCAGGAAAGACAGAAAGAGAAAGTGATAGAATGGTAAAACAAAGAATACCATAAGAGAAGGTGGTAGAAGGAAGAAACAAAGAATAGCATAATGAAAGACAAAAAGAGAAAGTGATAGAATGGTAAAACAAAGAATAACATAAAAGGAGGTGATAGAAGGAAGAAACAAAGAATAACATAAGGACAGATAGAAAGAGGAAGTGATAGAATGATACAAACAAAGAATAACATAAGGAAAGGCAGAAAGAGAAAGTGATAGAAAAGTAAAAACAATAATAACATAAGAGAAGGTGATAGAAGGAAGAAACAAAGAATAACATAAGAGAAGGTGATAGAAGGAATAAGAAACAAAGAATAACATAAGGAAAGACAGAAAGAGAAAGTGATAGAATGGTAAAACAAAGAATACCATAAGAGAAGGTGGTAGAAGGAAGAAACAAACAATAGCATAATGAAAGACAAAAAGAGAAAGTGATAGAATGATACAAACAAAGAATAACATAAAAGGAGGTGATAGAAGGAAGAAACAAAGAATAACATAAGAGAAGGTGATAGAAGGAATAAGAAAGAAAGAATAACTAGATGGAATTTTGACTGCGCGCAGTCGAAAATGATGCCTCCGCCATAGAGCAATTTAAACAAGTTTGGAGTTTAAATCTCCAGTGGTTCTTGAGATATCATGATATGTTAAGTTTGAAGTTTAAATCTCCAGTGGTTCTTGAGATATTATGATATGTTAAGTTTGAAGTGAAAATTCTCCAGTGGTTCTTGAAATATCGCGATAACGATCTCAATGTATCGAATTTTATAAGTTGACCTCTGTGACCTTTGACCTTTGACCTACGTGCTCCAAAATCTAATCAGATTGTCTTCCTATGGTGATACACACTATCATTAAGTTTGAAGTTTAAATCTCCAGTGGTTCTTGAGATATTATGATAACAATCTCAATATATGGAATTTCATAAGTTGACCTCTGTGACCCTTGACCTTTGACCTACATGCTCCAAAATCTAATTAGATCGTCTTCCTATGGTGATACATACTATCCTTAAGTTTGAAGTTTTTACATCTCCAGTGGTTCTTGAGATATCAAGATAACAATCTCAATGTATGGAATTTCATAAGTTGACCTCTGTGACCCTTGACCTTTGACATACGTGCTCCAAAATCTAATCAGATCGTCTTCCTATGGTGATACATACTATCCTTAAGTTTGAAGTTTAAATCTCAAATGGTTCTTGAGATATCGCGCTAACAAACTCAATACAAGGAATTTCATAAGTTGACCTCTGTGACCTGTGACCTTTGACCTATGTACTCCAAAATCTAATCAGATCGTCTTCCTATGGTGATAAATACTATTCCCGAGTCTTAAGTTTAAATCTTAAATGGTTCTTGAGATATTGTGATAACGGTCAAACGGGACGGACGTACGGACGGATGTACGGACGGACAACCCGAAAACATGATGCCTCAGGCACCACCTTCGGTGGCGGAGGCATAACAAAAGAGAAGGTGGTAGAAGGAAGAAACAAAGAATAACATAAGAGAAGGTGATAGAAGGAATAACAAACAAAGAATAACAAAAGAGAAGGTGGTAGAAGGAAGAAACAAAGAATAACAAAAGAGAAGGTGGTAGAAGGAAGAAACAAAGAATAACATAAGAGAAGGTGATACAAGGAAGAAACAAAGAATAACATGAGGAAAGAAAGAAAAAAAATACGAGAAGGTGATAGAAGGAAGAAACAAAGAATAACATGAGGAAAGATAGACAGAGGAAATGATAGAATGATAAAAACAAAGAATAACATGAGAGAAGGTGATAGAAGGAAAAAGAAACAAAGAATAACAAAAGAGAATGTGGTAGAAGGAAGAAACAAAGAATAACAAAAGAGAAGGCGGTAGAAGGAAGAAACAAAGAATAAAATAAGAGAAGGTGATAGAAGGAATAAGAAACAAAGAATAACATAAAAGAAGGTGATAGAAGGAATAAGAAACAAAGAATAACATGAGGAAAGATAGAAAAAGGAACTGAAAGAATGATAAAAACAAAGAATAAAATACGAGAAGGTGATAGAAGGAAGAAACAAAGAATAACATAAGGAAAGATAGAAAGAGGAAATGATAGAATGATAAAAACAAAGAATAAAATAAGAGAAGGTGATAGAAGGAAGAAACAAAGAATAACATAAGGAAAGACAGAAAGAGGAAATGATAGAATGATAAAAACAAAGAATAAAATAAGAGAATGTGATAGAAGGAAGAAACTAGATGGAATTTTGACTGCGCGCAGTCAAAAATGATGCCTCCGCCATAGAGCAACTTTACAAACCCAAACGGAAGCAATTTTTAAAATTCAAGTTTGATTGTAATCCATCTGTCGGTTTTAATAATAATGCATTCACAAGCTATTTATAGTCATACATAATGAGCCCCATGACCTTTGACCTGATGACCCTAAAATCTAATCAGTTAATTGGCTCTGCAAGATACATATATACATGTCTTGAGTTTGATAGTAATCTGTCTATTGGTTCTCATTATAATGCGATCACGAGCTATTTGTGCATACATAATGAGCCCTGTGACCTTTGACCTCGTGACCCCAAAATATAATCAGTTCATTGGCTCTGTTAGATACATACATGACCCAAGTTTGGCACGAATCCATCGATCGGTTCTTGAGGTAACGCGATCACAAGCTATTTTTGTATACATAATGAGCCCTGTGACCTTTGACCTCCGACCTCGTGACCCCAAAATCTAATCAGTTCATTGGCTCTGTTAGATACATATATGACCCAAGTTTGGCAGGAATCCATTGATCGGTTCTTGAGATATTGCGATCACAAGCTATTTTTGAATACATAATGAGCCCTGTGACCTTTGACCTTCGACCTCGTGACCCCAAAATCTAATCAGTTCATTGGCTCTGCAAGATACATACATGATCCAAGTTTAGAGAGAATCCATCAATTGGTTCTTGAGATAACGCGATCACGAGAACGGGACGTACGGACGGACGGACAACCAGAAAACATAATGCCTCCGGCTATATTTGTAGCGGAGGCATAACAAAGAATAACATAAGGAAAGATAGAAAGAGGAAATGATAGAATGATAAAAAACAAAGAATAAAATAAGAAACAAAGAATAATGTAAGGAAAGATAGAAAGAGGAAATGATAGAATGATAAAAACTAAGAATAAAAATAAGAGAAGGTGATAGAAGGAAGAAACAAAGAATAACATAAGGAAAGATAGAAAGAGGAAATGATAGAATGATAAAAAACAAAGAATAAAATAAGAGAAGGTGATAGAAAGAAGAAACAAAGAATAACATAAGGAAAGATAGAAAGAGGAAATGATAGAATGATAAAAACAAAGAATAACATAAGGAAAGGTGATAGAAGAAGAAACAAAAGATAGCAAGAGGAAATAATAGAATAATAAAAACAAAGAATAACATAAAAGAAGGTGATGAAACTACACTCACGTTGACGTTTTCACGGCGACGGCGATTCACGCAAATTGCCCCAGACTCCTGTCGGGTGATATGGAAGGGAACGTGGGCCCAGAAGCTCACGCATGCGCAAGGGATAAATATGACGTCACACATAGTAGCTCACGTCGGGTGCCTAAATCGAAAGCTTGCTATTATAGCTGATCGACACGATTGTTATTCTGGGGCCTCACAGTAACGAGGCCATTGCTTAGCCACTGAATCATGACTGTATGTAGCGGGGGCTAGGGTACGTCACTGCCCTCACAAATACAAAAAAAACAAAGAAAATGCAATAAATTATCATTAATTCATTGCATTTTCCCCCGGTCTCCAACAGGAAAAAATCCTCTGTAGGGCCATGCATAATGGTTTAAGGTATGCCCACATAGAGGATTTTTTTATGTTAGGAGTTAAGTCGCATAATGATGATATATAAATGCGTTCATAACTTAGCACCTTCTTACCTTCAGGTAGGCTTAATCTATCCTAATGATGTACATGAGCATCATACAAGGCAAATAGACTGTGGATGTTTAAGAGTGCCTAGATTTCACACTGATTGCTATAAGTGTAGCCCAATTGTTTCCTCTATATTTGAATGGAATAATAGATAATACGATGAGAACGGCTTCTTCTGTCAATTAATTTTTGAATGGCTCAGCCGAACATACACTACATGCATATTCTGTAATATTAACATGATTTATTCTCATAATTGCAACTTAATCAATATTTTCCTATTGGCATTACAGTTGAACTAGGTCAATAAAAAAATGTTTCTTTTTTAAACGAGTATTCCTTTGTGCCACGTCTATCATTGCTGTATCATATCTTTCTTAATGTACTATGGAATTTTATTTTCACTGTTCTGTATAAACGTTATGCTTTTGCGATGTAAATATGTTCTTGTTCGTTCAGGGCCCCATGGAAGACCACTACTTATCGGTGAATGGGCTACCCTGACAAAAGATTAGAAATAAATAAATATATAATATGCTATCTAAACTATATTTTGAGTAGTGCACCAAGGGAGAAGGTACTTACAAGAAAAACAGAAATTAATATTTTTGTACACAGCAAATGGGAGAGTTATCCAAGTCCTACATGTAGGTCACAATCCACTGACCGAAATACCAATTTGAGATTCGTATAGACTTTAATAGTGATGTCATACATGTATTTCATACATTCATAACTTCCTTACTATTGGTCCGATTCATTTCAAACTTTTGACATTCTGTTTTTATTATATTTCTACTTTCCTACAAATCAACTATTTAGCGTTGGATTGCCCTTTAACTTTAAAAGTAGAGCGAGAAAATATTTTTAAAACACTTCCCGGTATGTTTGATATTTTCAGGAAGTATTTCCCAACTGTAACATCATTAATATTAATTTAAACATTATTTAAAGCAATGTTTGCTGCACATTCAGCACGAGAAAATACTAATATTTTCATGTATAAATTGTCCAAACTCGCACTTAAATGGAACACACACGCACGTAACGCTGTTTTGCTTGGCAACTCCACCAAAATGGCGACTTATCCGGTGTCTGCCCATTGCAGGCTCGGTACAAACATTGCACTGTTTTTATTTGCCTTTTTTTTGTTTTTCTATGTGAAAATGCTGTTCATTCAAATCAGGTTCTGAACGTTCTAAAACTCATTTTAAAGCAAACATTTCGTGCAAACATTCAGGCGTGCAAAACCCTGAAAGTTTTAAATATCAAAGGATTTCCTTACTCAAATTATAATATAAATGATTATGCTGTGGCAATTATTTGTATTGTATAGCAGCACAAAACTGATGTGCATTGTTTTGATGTGGTCCCATTCACACACTTATATAATGCTCCTTTAAGTTGGGTTTGTGAAAGGGGCAGTAACTTTGACTGGTTTACCTTTGACAGAGCCCTGAGGAAAGCCAAATTGAGTAGCTAGGGGAAATGGTCTCGTCTTGGCCTCTTCTTTCCACTTCAGGTATGCATCTTCCGCCTCTTCTTTCCTCCTCCTTTCGGCTTCTTCTTCAGCTCTTTGTTCTTCCTTCTCCTTCTTCTCCTTCATCTCTTTTGCAGCCTTCTTCTTGCTCCTCCATTCTCCATAGTTCTCCTTCAAAGTAAAGGGAAGATGAAAGGTGATTTCTTATTCTGGCAATTGCAGAAAACAGAATCTCACAGATTTAAACAAAACTATAGAGATTTAAAAAAAACTATTTTAAAGACTACAAAGAATGATAATACAATCACAAGGGTTCATTTTAAGTGACATCTTTCAATGGGAGATGACAAAGGTTGGTCTCTTGTTTCAATTAAATTTTGATTAAAAATGAGAAAGATATTAATTTTTGAAGTTGCAAAACAAATTGGCAACACTGTGCCATATATTGCATTTATTTTCAAGCTCCCCTGCTATTTGCCCTGTACTTAAAAATTTCATAAGTCTATACTTTCTGTTAAAGCCCCACTGCACTACTCATAGCTACTTACACCCTCTATATAGCAAACAATGCCTAAGCAGTAATAATAATAATTATGAACATTATTTGTATAGCGCATATCACTAACACCATGAAAGTCCCTATGCGCAGTGACAGTTGGTTCCTTTTTCCTATGTCAATTTAGAGCTGATAACCACCTGTCAGTGACCACGCAGTGAGGTCTAATCTCTCTTGGCCAAACTAGTGCAGATAGGCTTGAAGGAAATTTGCAATGATACATTCACCCTAAATATAACTAGAAATATCGCAATCTATATTGCTGCGCAATGCGAATGAGGGGCAGCGATTTTGTGTCATCCTTATGTTCGAAGGAGGGATGAAGATCCCCTCTCCCTGAAACAAAAGGATGACGTAGAGATCGCCACTATTGTCAAGACTAGGACCAGCATCACCAAAACAATATATGTGTGTAGATTAGAGTATAATGCATCTCTGTAGAAAATTTGAAAGAAATCTGTCAAGAAATGTGGCAGTTAGACCGGACAAAAGACAGCCACCAAAATATGACCCTATAACCACTATAACAGACGGAACACAGGTGGCAGTGTCACCAAACACTAAAAAGGTGTAGATGATTGTACTAAGACACACCTCCATAGAACATTTGAAAGAAATCTGTCAAGAAATGTGGCAGTTAGAGCGGATTAAAGACAAATTTGACCTTTGACCATATAAAAGACGGAACAATAAGGGCAGCTTCACCCAAAGTGTCGGTTGGTGACAAGATACATTTCTAATTCTCTATACAAAATTTGAAAGAAATCCATCATGAAATATGATCTGCAGAGCGCAAACTAGACACCCACCAAAATATGAACTCTTGACCCTATACAAGACGGAAAACTGGGGGCAGCATCACCAAAATCTATATGCTTGTAGATTATACCAAGATACACCTCCATACAAAATTTGAAAGAAATCCGTCAAGGAATGATGCAGTTAGAGTGCACACAAGAATACAATATGGCCTTTTACCCTATAAAAGACGTAACACTGGGGGCAGCATCACCAAAAGTTATAGGTGTGTAGATTATACCACGATACACCTCCATACAAAATTTGAAAGAAATCCGTCAAGGAATGTGGCAGTTAGAGCGCACACAAGAATAAAACTAGAATTTAATTCGTCACGAGGACGAATAAGGTGGTGTGTCTTCAAGTCTTATGATAGATTATAATATTTACTATATAGGAGAAGTTATTATATAGACATGTAAACAATGATCATCATCATGATGATCATGATGATCTTGATAGTAATGGTGATGACGATGATGATCATGATGATGATCGTGATGATGTTGATGATTATCATCAACAGACCATGATGACATCAGACTGAAAAAAATGAGAGAACATTTAGATAGTATATAGTACTCAAAAATCAACAAAAATCAAGCCAAAATAACGGCGATATTGCTCGCAAAAGACAAGAATGTAGAATCCAGATTTGAGAAGAAGTCATCTCCCATAAGGATTACAGGCAAAATGTAATGGATCAAGTGATTATAGAGTAATAATAAAGTAAATATGGTTGTTTATTACATTATTTGCGATTGTACGTGGTTTAATATTCAAAGGAGATGGTACAGTGAAAGGTCAAAAATTTTTAAAAAAAGTGAAGAAAAAAAATTGTTGGAGACGCCCGGACTCGAACCAGGGACCTCGAGGTCGGAAGTCAAGTGCGTTACCGATATACCAAAACATTTCCCTTAGAGATTACACGTAAACGGAAAAAATGGAATTCTCAAATCCCACTTTGTAAGTGAAATATGAGCATGATCCCGGCATCTGATCGAAAAATAAAGGGCACACTTGTGATAGCTTATGTCTCAGCTACAACATACTCAAAGCTCAGCGTAAACAAAGATAAAACGACGGAGATATTGCTCGCGAAAGAAGAGAATGTAAAATCCAGTTTTGAAAAAAGGACATGTCCCATAGAGAATACATGGAAAATGTGAAAAATTGACATGCCTCCTTTAAAGGGAAAGTCCACCCTCAAATAAAGTTAGTTTTAATAGGAGTAGAAAAATGAGAGAAACAAGTCAGTGAAAGTTTGAGCAAATTCCGATTAAAAATAAGTAAGTTAGGATTTTTGAAGTTGTGATCAATCAAACACAAATTGGCAACTCTATGACGTATCATGCGAGCTCAACTTCCATTTGCTCAGTACTAAAAAAATCTAAAATTTTCATTTTCCCTCAAGAAAAATTTCAACCATACATGCACCCTAAATATAATAATTGCAAATATGTTTCTATACTCCCCCTGCAAGGTGCAAATATATATTCCGTCATTAATAACGAAGAAAACATGATTTTATGGAATATTATGCACAAAGCAAATGAAGGAGAGCTCGTATAATAAGTCACAGAGTTGCCAATTTGTATTTGATTGATCACAACTTCAATAATTCATAACTTTCTTATTTTCATTCAGAATTTGCTCAAACTTTCACTCACCTGATTTTCTTATTATTCTGCCTCTATCGAAACAAACTTATTTGGGGGGTGGACTTTCCCTTTAATCGCAAAAATACGCCATGATACCATTGTCAAAATGAAATATTGTTTGACTGCATTTGTAGAGAATATTCTCAGGTAGAACATATCAAAATTTGAAAGAAAATTGATCAATATTTACAGTGATACAATCAACTTCTAAAAATCTGCTGACGTCATAATATGCAAATTGAAATTTTGAGTTCGGAGGCCATTATGATGACGTGATGAGTTAATTGAGGGTCAAATGAGACATGAAATCATATCTCCAACTCATAATCTATATAAATATGAAAGAAATTGGGGGTATCTATCCATTCTGAAGAGTTACAATGAATTTTGTATAGGCATGTTTTTGCACATGTATTTTGGATATAGATAGCGCAGATCCGCGCGTACTGTAAACTTTGACGGACACTCATTGCGTTATTACTGGTCAGAAAAAGGTGAACAAGGTATCAAAATGCTTGGTAAAAAGTGGTTAACACGTTGATAGAGAAAATTTGGCGTTTCTATGTTGTAAAATGTCAGTACGCGCACACATAAGTGCTCACGCGCAAAATTTTGAAAAAGCTTACAATGGCCTGAAACGTGTGCAAAAAAAATTTGGAACGAATTTGAGCATTTTTAAAATTTTGATGCGCGCGTACGGAATTTGTTGACATTTTTAGTTGACCTTTGACCTGAAGTTGATGTATACCAAATATGGTTTATTTTTGATGACTCATTATCGAGATATGATAATGACCTGATTTTTACAAAATGGCGCCTAGATGACGTCACGATGACCCCATGAACTTGAAAAAGGTTTCGGGAACTTGATATTATAGGGCCTGATGACTGACAGAAATTCAAAGGAAACTGACCATGTCGATTTTGAGTTAACGTGTGCACACAAACGTGTACGGAAGAAATAAAAATAAATAAATAAATAAATAAATAAATAAAGAAAATTTTAACGAAATCAATAGGTAATCTGTCATCGACAGACCACCTAATAATATGCAGGGGTGATAGTGAGCACTAAAAAAAAAATAGGTTTTTTTTGTTTTCCCCTCAACCACGGCCCCCTTGCGTAAAAAAAAAAAAAAGAGGATTCGCGGGGAAAAAATGGCATCTAACAACATTCCCCCCTTTTGAGTAAAAAAATTGGGCAAAAATAGGGCAAAATAGGGAAGAATAGAGAAAACTAGAAATATCGCAATCTGTATTGCCGCGCAATGCGAATGTATCCCCCGGCAGTGGAAGCAATTTTGTGTTATCCTTATGTGGAAGGAGGGACAAAGATTCCCTCTCCTCTTTGTGAAACAAAAGGATGACGTAGAGATTGCCGCAAGTGGCTCAGACTATTGTCAAGACTAGGAGCAGCATCACCAAAACAATAGGTGTGTAGATTAGATTATGATGCATATTTATAGAAAATTTGAAAGAAATGTGATTTGCATAGCGACACAAGATATTCCTTTAAATATGACCTTTGACCCTATAAGAGATGGAATACTGGGGGGTAGCAGCACCAAATTTGTGGAGGTCTAGAGTAAACTATAATGAACCTTAATACAAGCAGCATCACTAAAATCTATAGGCTTGTAGATTATACCAAGATACACCTTTGTTCAAAATTTGAACAAAATCCCTTTAGAAATGTGGCCTATAGAGCGCACACAAACAAAAATATGGCCTCGTACCCTATAGAAGGCGGTACACTGGGGGCAGCATCACCAAAAGTTATAGGGATGTAGATTATACCAGGATACACCTCCATACAAATTTTGAAAGAAATCCGTCAAAAAATGGGGCAGTTAAGAGCGCACACTAGAGTGCACACAAGACATCTATCAAAATATGACCTTTGACCCTATAAAAGACGAAACATTGGAGGCAGCATCACTAAAATCTATAGGCTTGTAGACTATACCAAGATACACCTTCATTCAAAATTTGAACAAAATCCCTTAAAAAATGTGGCCTATAGATTGCACACAAACCATCCACAAAAATATGGCCTTGTACCCTATAGAAGACGGAACACTGGGGGCAGCATCACCAAAAGTTATAGGTATGTAGATTATACCAGGATACACCTCCATACAAAATTTGAAAGAAATCCGTCAAGAAATGTGGCAGTTAGAGCGCACACAAGAATATGACGCGGCGGCGGCGGCTGCGTAACGCTGCTGAATCCAAAGTACCCCACCGGCATACTGCCGGGGGATACAATAAGAGGGACATCGGGAAAATCAGGATCAAATAGGGAAGAAAAAAAATTGGTTAAAAAAAAAAAAAAAAAATCGGGAAAATCTGGAAAAAATCGGGAAAAACTATTTTTTTTAAATCGGGAAACCGATTTAAATCAGGTTTTTATCTGGCCTGAATTGGACGCGGCAGCGTAACGCTGCTGAATCCAAAGTACCCCACCGGCATACTGCCGGGGGATACAATTATTTCAAAGATGTTTTTATACAACCCCTGTATGAATCATATTTCCCCTAACCAATCAGTAAGAAAACGAAAGTTTATAAAATTGGAGAGGAGTTTGCAAGATATGTCACAGTGTTGCCAATTTGTGTTTCAATGATGACAACTTTGAAAATATACATGTATAACTTTCTTATTTCTAGTCGGTTTTTGCTCAAACTTTCACTGACCGGTTTCTCTCATTTTCCTGCTTTTATTAAAAGCAACTTAATATCAGGGTGGACTTCCCCTTTAACACTCACCTTTGCTTTCTCCTGGACTCCCCTCTTCTCTTCTGCTTCAAGTTGTTTCTTTGTCTTCTCTAGCCTCCAGTTGGCTTTTCTCGATTCCTGCTCCTTAGCTGTTCTTTCCTCAATCCACATGTTGACCTTGACCTCAATGACCTTAGCTTTCTCCACCTTCATCTTCTTCTCTTCTGCAATCTTCAGCTGTTTCTTCCTCTGCAGCATGGCCTATACTCGATAAAGAGAGAAAAGAAGAGAAAAGAGTGAGTGAGAGTGAGAAAGGGGGAGGAAGGAGAGGGAGTGTAAGAGAGAGAGGAGGGAGAGTGAGAGGGGGGAAGGGGAGGAGAGGCTGGAGAGAGAGAGAGAGAGAGAGAGAGGGAGAGTAAGAGAGAGAGTGAGAGAGGGGAAGGGGAGAGGCTGGATGGAGAGAGAGAGAGAGAGAGAGCGAGGAGAGTAGGGGAAGGGAGAGAGAGAGAGAGAGAGAGAGAAGAGAGAGTGAGAGAGAAAGGGGGAAGGAAGAGAAAGGGGAAGGAGAGGGAGAGAGACAGACAGAGGAGGGAGAGAGAGAGAGAGAGAGAGAGTGAGAGAGAGAGAGGGAGAGAGAGAGGGGGAAGGGGAGAGGCTGGATAGAGAGAGAGAGAGAGAGAGGGAGAGTAAGAGAGAGAGGGAGAGTAAGAGAGAGAGGGGGAGTGAGAGAGGGGAAGGGGAGAGGCTGGATGGAGAGAGAGAGAGATTTAACATGTGAAAGTGAACCAACAAATGTGTGAAAGTGAACCACGTTTGTACGCGTCCCTATTGGTTCACTTTGACAAGCGCCGATTCTGCCGATGTTTCACTTTCACAAGTGTGAAAGTGAACCAAATATGATGTGGAGCGCCATCGTAGTATTACGCACGCCAAACATTATTATTTGTATTCTTTAATTTCTTCATTCTATTTGATTATTTCAACTCGGAAGTGTCTCAAATAATTTTCAAAAATCAAAGTAATATTTTAGATTTAACTCCCTCTCGTGTTTTATGATTTTGAATCATTTAAAGTAAAAAATGATGTACTTGATCTCTTGATCAATTTGAAGCTACGAATTTATCGAAAACTACGCTGTCAACACTTGGGCAGAGTCGACGGTCCTGAAAAGGTAGCATAAATTTCCTTTTTTAAAATCATTCTGATTATTTAAGTAATCTTATTTTGCTTCCGTATTGAGAAAAGTATATATGTAATGAGTTTTAAATGCTGATGAATTAAGCAATTCAAACTGGAGCCATAAGACAAACCAAGAAAAGTTTTCATTTTCAGCATCCAGCGCTAGCGGGGAGTGCGCCTACGTAAAGCCGAAGCCTAAGGGGACATCGCACCGTCGATGACTGTCGCGTCACCGCCGCGGCCTCGGCGCAGTGTGTGAAATAATCATGATGAATGTTAGACTTGGACCTAATTAAGAGGGAGGGTATAACGTAAGGATACATGATAAGAGGTCATACACTACCTAACTTCCACTTCCACTGTACAATATAAAGTATAGAGTCTAGATCTAGGTCTAGTTAAAAAAACAGATCTAAAAGTAGGCGTTACGCCGTTAGCAACTAACTAGATAATAGATTAGCTAACACTACAGTAACACACTAACACTACAGTTGCACACTTTGCTTTCAGCAGCCATTAAATTTATATTAATTCAGAATGTTAGTGTTGTAGATCTAGATCTATGTGCATTTCATCTAAACTCTTTTACCAGGGGCGGTATTCTCAACATTGTAAGTTTTGTGTTATCTTTTGTTGTATCTTCCAGAGATAACACGGCTGAATATTAATAAGTAATATTATTGTAAGTTGGTATTCTAAAAATCATTTTATCCCTGTGTTATCTCTTGAAGGACCGCCTCTATCTTATCTTTGACATGCACATTTTTATGGACCCTACCAATCAAGATCTATTTTATTTAGTCTAAGCATGATATTGATAAGTAGACTAGGTCAACCAATAGGAGAACCTTATGTCATACTAAAGATCTTGGGCGTAATTAGTTAATTGAGCGCTTATTATGCACGTCATTATATTCGCTGTGACACTTGGATCATGAAGACAAGTCACACTTTCACTTATAGTGGTTAAGAGACATCACACATAAATCGTCATATCCTAGCCAAACTTAAAATTGGTTGTTTGGTTATTTTACCTGACTGCTAAGAAAGCATAAATGCTTGTAAGTAAGCAACCAGACGGCTGATGGCTTTACCTGGTAGTGAGGATTAATGCCTTACCAAAGCGCATCGACTTGGTTTCGAACCACTGATCTACCGACTGAGCTATTGCGCTTCCTCATGTAATTTCTTAGAAAGTTCTCAGATCATCTGTGATGTCTCCGGTCAACACAAAATCTTCTTCCAACTCGTCTATTAGTAATAGTATTGGCATTTTATCACTACGAAAGATACAACCCCCCCCCCCCTACCTATTGTAAATATTGTTGTAAATACTATGCAAGATAAGATAAGATAAAAGATACAACAATTTTCAGAATACCAATTATTTTGTCATATTATCTATCGTACGCATATGCAAATGAGGATTAAAGCCACACTGTCCTACTTGTAGCTACTTGCTCCCTCTATAGAGAAAACAATGCCTAATCAGTTACCATTGATCCCCATGATTCTCTTTTAATTATGTTAATTAAGAGCTGAGTTGATGAGATAACCATAACCACCTGTCCAGTGACCATGCAGGGTGGTGTAATCCCTCCTATAAACTAGTACAGATAAGCTTTAAGTGGGATTGTATTAATAATACACATGATTACAACCGCACAAAAGTTTGAGCGCAGGCGTGGCCAAATAAATGAGAGCAGAGTAAAGATACAACAAAAGTTACAACAATTTTCAGAATACCAACTTTATCTTATCTTGAAAGATAAAACAATATTACAGATAACACAGGGTTCAGAATATGGCCCCTGGTTTTGAATAATAATAATAATAATAATAATCTTTTAAAGTTCACTCCAAATTTTATTAAGTTAAACCGAAAATGGAAATTCTTTTTGCCCAATTGATCGTGAGCCCGGCAGCCACTGAGCAGCGCCAGATCGACGTTGCTCTATCCCTTATTGTTGAACGCCAAACAAGGTAGCAGCAACTCCCGTCTTTTAACGTCTTTTGGTATGATGCGGCCGGGGTTCGAACCCACGACCTCCTGGTTGTGAGGCGGACGCTCTACTGACTGAGCCAACGCATTTATTATCATCTACTTTGATCTTTGATCTTTAAATACGAGATATACATGTAGAATTGTAGATATACTTTTGTTTTCATTCAGAGTAGATGCTCTATATAGATTTCACATATACTGTTTTGATCTGAAGTAGATATTGATACACTGTATAGTTATAATATTTTGTAGTTATATATACATAGTTTACAGTACATTTTTTTATAGTAGATAAGAATGTATTGAATTGATCTGTAGTATATATTGACTTACTGTTCTATGGATGTAGATATAATGTTTTGATCTGTAGTAGATGTAGATACACTATTTTGATATATTTAATTCTGTTTTTATTTTTCAGATAGAAGGTAGCACAGCTATTGAAGTTCTGTTTGGGGATGATGGAGATGGTGGTAACTGGTAAGAACAGTGTTGTTGATTTTATTTACTTTTTTTCAATGTAATTGTTTTTGTGTGTATAATTGATTGTCTAAACCACACATATTTATTAATTCAATATTGAAATTTTAAAGATATTTTTTGACACAGGGCTGTATTTCATTAGAATTTATTTGTTAAAATACTTGATATAAATTCATTAATAGCAAATTACAGTCATAATTACTCATTCAATATTAGAATATTATAAGAGTAAGGAATCAATAATTATAAAATGGAAAAGAAAAATGATTAGAGACTGGATGGAGGAGATATGATAAGTGAACAAAATGTGAGGTAGAACCAGTGAAGCATGAACAACTGAGGCTCATTCAAATATGATGCAGTAAACTGCAGCAAAACAACTCCGCACTTTTTAAATGTGTATTAATGGCAACTGCGTGTAACAAAGGTCCTACGCTTATTTACTGAGATCTGTGTTATAAGATAAAGAAAGTTTAAGCAGATTACGGTTCATGTCATTAAACAAAATTGGCAGTATACTGCGGCATAAGTGGACAAGGCTTAAGAAGGGATACCGGTAATCACTATTATAAGAATAATAAGAAAGTAGGTAGGAATAAATTAATAATAAAAATAATATTACGCTTTTATATAGTGCTTAATACATCAACAATGTATGTACAGTATGCATCACCAATGTGCTTTACAGATATATTATTACCCCGGTCATCAGATTCAGGCTTGCCCGCACACAATGTATGCTCATTCTCTACTCCCTTGGGAGCTTCCAGCCAGGTGTCATTTCACAGATGCTCACAATGCTGAGCAAACTACTTTCGCATCCTACCGGGTACCCATTTAACACCTGAGTGGAGAGTGGCAATTGTAAATTAATGTCTCGAATTGGAATTCAAGTATAGGTTTATACCACGTAGAGGTGCCGTGGTCGAGTGATATGTCACGGGACTGTGGATCACAAGGTCCGCGGTTCGAGTCCCGCCGCGGCACTAATGTCCTTTGGCAAGACATTAATCTACATTTGCCACACTCAACCCAGGTGAGGTAAATGGGTACCTGATAGGATTATTCCTTGAAATGCACTGCCCTGATAACCGCTTTAAGCTAAAGCTAGGGTTCAGTAATAATTTCCTAACTCTTTGGAAGCACATAGGGATGTTATATAATGTGATATGCCATATACAAGAATATGTATGCAGTAAATTTCAGTATCTTTATTTTAATCATCGTAGAGAATTTTGTCTTCAGCTGTCAGAGATAGTATTAAAGTACAGACTTTTAAAGCACCATGTCATAATGATTTCATTTGTTATAGCTCTTGTAAATGAACAAGTTTAAAGGGCATTCCTACCTTTGAAATAAGTTCATTAATTTGTATTACAGCAGAAAAAAAAAGGGTATAAGAATGGCGATAGAGTGAAATATATTGGGCCAGTACCGTTATAAGAAAGTTATGAATGTTTGAGATATGAGATCACTAAGTCTATGAGAATTTCACATTGGCAGTTTGGTGAAAGGATTATGACATAAACTCTCTCATTTGTTCTGTACAAAAAAGTCATCATTTTTTGTTTTTCTTGTAAGTGCCTTCTCCCTTCGGGCAAGATTCAAAATATATTATAGATAGCAGTGTTATAGTTCCTCTAAAGAGAATTGACCCTCCTGAGTCATAAATTTCATTATTTATATTTGATTTTTAGTAATTTTGTGTGTTGGAACAAATGGAAAAGTTGTCCGCCCCTACATCATAGAGACATTACAGATCCAGCCAAATATGGAAAGCCTAGACCTATAGTGAGTATAACTTTCAAAAATGCATAACTTTCTCATGTTTTGTCTGATTTCATTCAAACTTCACCAGCCTACTTCTCTAATTGTTCTGCTCTCCTCTAGAGTAGTTTGCTGTCGAGATTGGATTTCCCTTTAACTGCAACTAGGCATAGCCAGGAGACACTAGGGGACCATGCCTAGTATCCCTAATGCCAACCAAATTTTGGCCCCAGTTATTTATTTTAAATTTATTTTAAATACATGTATTGATATTTGAATAAGTTGACATAATTGTGTTGATTTTTACAATTTCTAGTGATTACACTTTATTGTGGATATGTTCACTTTCCATGCTATTACCAATTATCTAAAGGTTCTGCCTCCAGCACGATGTTATATGTATTCTCGATTGCCTTTCTTTAAACTATTTAGATAAAATCTTTGATCATGCTATTTTACATTTTCTTATCAAATTCTGTGTTTTTGCTAAGTCTACAGATGTATATTAGACTGTAACATATTTAGATTTATTATTTCTCCTTTTTCTTGTAATTTTCTTTTCTTTATAGTATAGCAGCAGATGAGACATTCATTGTCATTGCACCAGAAGACAAAGAGCCAGAAAAGAAAAAGAAAAGGTTATTAAGAATGAATATGAATATTGTACTAGAACCTTTTACTGATAATAATAATACCCATAGTAATGATAATTTATCTTGTATAGTGCATGATAATAATTAAAGAGAAAATACTTCAAAATAGGTTACAGATTGAGGTTCCTTATATCTGATTAGCATTTGGAATAAATAAAATGTGTATTAAGAGCAGACTGAGATTTGTCTATTGTAGTAATAGAGAGTAATAGAGAGAGATTATTCTGTAAAACTGGGGCAGCATAAGCAATGAATGTTCACCATACATGTATGTTTTTGTCAGAATAGGAAGAACAATACAGATTTGTTTTGTTTACATGATTGAAGATCTCCTATTGGTCTGTATGCAGTGAGTAACTCATTTGAATAAGAAAAAGCTTGGTGTTGATAATGCAACTTATTCATAGATAATATGAGTAATATGAATTTGTATCTTCAATTATTTTTTTTAAACAACATGATTATTATTAATATATTTTCTTTCTAAATTGTCTTACTTTAAATCTCTTTGCAACACAGTACTTGTGCCTGACCATTAAAGCCCAACCAGAAGTGAGTTAGAAGTGAACAGAGCAGGCCATACAAGGAAACGCCCTTTACATATTTCTCCAGTTACCTGACACAAACTGCCTGGAAGAGTTCACTGGGTTTTCATTGAAATTGGCACTTAACACTCATACATGTATCTGCTTTTTATTTACATCTGGGAAAGGATCTTTACTGCTACCATCTGTAAGAGGAAACTAATTTTTTAACCACGATCCATTGGAGTTGGTTGCTAGGCCAAGCCAAGAGCCAAACACAAGATAGACACTATATTGGTCTGGTTGGGGTAGAAACAAAGTGATACTAACCACTGTCAAAATATGCCAATTATAATCAAGGATCACATGGCCACAAACCTACTTTAGAGGTCTTAGAGTTGATGAGCTTGCATACTGCAGTGTAGATTGATAAAGGATGCTTGACAAGCATGAAGAGATGTCACCGTGCAAGGTATATTTGGAACATGTGTTCTGTTTGTGCTACACCTCTACAATTATTTAAAGAAATGCCTATTGCCAGGTGAATGATTCTTCTTGCCAAACTGAACAAGCTCCATCTCAACTCCTTCCAGACTTTGCTTTCCTCGTTAAAGGGATAATGAAGAGCATACCCCTCAAACATTGCTCTTTTGATCCCAATGATGCTCATTAATTTCCTGCTCATGGCTGTTGAGTTGACTCACTATATGTAGAACAAAATTGGACTTCAAGTCCAATTTAAAGGGCAAAACAACCGTTGTAAAAAAATCATTTGTATGTAAGCAGAAATTAAGAGAAACAGAATGGCAAACGTTTGAAATAAATCAGAATGATGAAAAATGTATGAATGTTTGAAAGATGAGATCACTAAAGCCATGTGAATCTCAAACTGAAAATTTTGACATAGTAGCAATATTGAGGTGCAAGCCTTCAGCTAAATCCTCATTGTTTTGATATAAATAATTGGTATTGGTATTGTGCAATTCTGGGGGCTAAAGGATGATGTCCAGGGAAAACACAGGTGAACTTGTTCGTGAACATGCCAGGACAAGCCAACTCGTATATTTATTCATATTTTATATACACACTGTACATGTATTCATTTGTTAGTGTACCTTGAGATCAATTTCTAAATTTTCTGGTTGTTTTTTTATTTGAGATAAACTGTATTTGAATTTCCCATTTTGTAATAATTAAGGTTGACTAATGGATGATGGACTTCAGCTTAGCAATACACATGTAAATAAATCTATACAAATTTATTTCAATAGTATATACCGGTAGACCATTTCTTACAAGATGATCTCTACTTAAATACATGTACATGTAGCTAATTTAGAGCACTGATCAAAATGTATGTAAAATATAAGAGGAAGCTTGGAACATTGGTAACTATGTTTTTATATGAGACATATTATTTTATGAGGTTAAAGATAATCATAGTATACAAAGACTAATACGACCAGGTTAATTAACTTGTTATATGTACATTCAAGTTTGTTAAGATGAGCTTTCATTGTGGTCTACATGTTTTATCATATACTGTACATTGCTGCTTCTGACCATTCACAGATTTAAAGTTGAGTCGGAATACTTTATTGACCCCAACTTCCCATGATGTAACTTACTCAGTAAATTTAGATTATATTGCTAAATTTCTTGGGAAAGGTAAACATGTTCTTATGATTTGTACATGTGTATATGCCAACTTTTCTTTAAAACATTTCAAGATAAGTATACAAATACATGTATGGTATTCATATTTGTTAGCAGATGTTCCTGCATTTATTGATAAATCAAATACAAAACATTCAAATAACAATAATAGTATATAATATAATTGATTTACATAAAGAGTGACAACTGGAATACACACATAAAAATGCATATGATTGAAAACTTGAAAGTATATATAGAGGTAAGTAAAAGAATCAAGATAAACGCAGAGGCCAACTATCATAAGCATGAATGCTTGAGTCCATGGCAGCCGGGAAAGGTGGGGGTGGGGGGGGGGGGTACATGGCGCTGTTATAGGAATATGTAGGAGAACAGAGAGTCATGTATGAAAGTGCATTTAACTTTAACAGTGTAAAGTGTCATTTACTTCATTATATTATCTTGTTCAATATCTTTGTTTTTTTCAGGAGTATGTGGGCTAAACTGCCTAAAAAAAGATGAAGAAACAAATAACTTGGACCCCCCCCCCCCCCGCCAAAAAAAGAGACTTTTGTATAGTTATTTGTGTATTTAATAACAGTGTAATTATTTATTAGATTCAAATACTATGCAATAACTTTGTGTGTATATGTATATATATATCTATAACATACAGTGTATTTGTGTATTTATTTCCAAGAGAGTCACAACAAGTTTTGTGCATTTGTCAAATTTCTTTCATTGCATTATGAATAATTATTCTGGGTAATTAATGCATGTAATAAAGCTCAAAGCCATGATCCAACTGAGGCACGTAGCTTGTTATTGTTCAAATCTCACCTGCCCAGGACAAAAAATTAAAATACATGTACTACTACTACTACACTGTGTGCAACACACCCCCTTCGTGGAGAAAGGAAAGTAGAAGAGAGAACACCTTTAACAAATATGGGAGATAAAGAAATAATTAAATAAAGAGGAAAATGATGAGGAAGATGAATGAGAATTGCATGAGATTAAAATGAGTACATAGATCAAAATAGAGAGAAAAAGAGTGGCATATGGATTTAATATTTGTTGGTGTTTGTTAGGGGATGAGATGATGTGCTGTGAGTGCTGCTTTTGCAAGTAGTGTCGAGTGACGAAAACATTGGCTCTTTAAGTTACTTACTTTCATATTAAAGTAGATACAATGAATGGCAGTCTATTTTCATTCAATGTTATCTTAATAACTTAAATTAATAACATTTTACCTCAAAGGGTAAAGTTGACATTACACTTTCCAGCTAACAAATTTTGTATTGCTGAAGATTTTGATCCCTCCTTTTCTCAAAAGTTTGAGCTAAATGGCTTATTTTTAGTATTTGATACCATGAGTAGTTCAGCTGGGCATGTGCCCAACAAATTTATTCTTGAGTCAGATGTAACAAAGAATTACCAACTCGTGGACAAAGGGGCAAACAGATTCAGATCTAGATTCACCTTCAAAATAAATTTATTTACCATTAAAAAAAAATAGCAAAAACATAAATAACATGACAAAAATATATTTTTGATAACAAAGATGTTTCAGGAAAATCTCAGGAAATAATGGTTGAACTGTACTTACTTCATAATATAATCAATATATGATTCACAAGTTATGACCTTCATGATAATTGATAAATATTTTTGTAGAAAATAGTAGGATATGTATAAAAGAAAAAGAAGCTATGCTTGTTTATTACATGCATAAAAACTAACGTTAGGTAACGTATGAGTGGGTCATTGAAAATGAACCAGGGCCACAATCACCACATCTTCCCTACATATCAAAGCATGCAATGTTACTATCATCATATATTATAATCAAACAATTATAATGTTAATATGTTATTTTACCATTATTTTCTTTCACATACAAATACAGTACAAAAACATTGATAATATGTACATGTCATGTACATATATTTGTTTTAACGTATCCCTAAAGAGACTGATTGATTGATTGAAATGGTATGTACATGTATTAAATAATAAACACACATGGCCGCTAGGCAGCTGGATTAAGTTGGATATACATGCACCATGCAATGCAATACAAGTTGGGGAAAACAGCAAAATGCAATCGGTTATTACATATTCATAATTTACAAGCATATCATAACAAATGTATAGCAAAATAAACATATGGACTATTGCACCAAAAAGAAAGAGAGAGTAGAGAGAAAAGGAGAGAGAGATAAAAAAAAAAAAAGAAGAGATATATACTTGGACAGAAAGAAAAGTTAAGGCAAAAAGGGAGAAAATATAGATAAAAGAAGAGAAAGAGAGTATTTACTATATAGACAGCTAGAGATAAAAAGAAAAAGTGAGAAAGCAAAAGAAAGAGAGAGAAGACAGAGAAAGAGAGTAATTGGTAGAAATATAGAGGGAGAGTGAAACAAAAAAGAAATATCCATACATTATATCAAAATGTAGAACAAAGTCATTCTCCAGTTGTAGTCCAAGAGAGGATAGTAAACAGTAAACAAATATACTCATTATGGCCCGAATTCACAAAGGAGGTATCTAAACCCATAACAATGTTTTGTAAATGTTACACAAGGTCAGTATGTGTGACATAGGTACCAACACTTTTGACAAGCACTATATATGGCTGGTCTTTGACCAGATATTACAAAGAGGGAAATAGAGAACAAACAAAAATTATTTGATGTAAAATCTTTTCTCTGATTATTGTGAGATATAAACCTCATCATTCTTTGAAATATATAATACAAATGCGCTTTCTTCATTTTTAACCTACAACAACAGTGTACCATGCAATTGTTTATACTCTAAAGATATATGTGTCTTAATTGAGCATGAAACAATTTGTATTTAAAAAAAAAGATTTAATATCATGATTGAAATTTATTGGCAACATTTTCTGTTAATAACAATAATAATTATAACAATAATTATAATAACAACAATAACAATTACACTACTACTACTAACAATAATACATGTACATGTAATTGGAATTTAATTATATAGGGCATTTCCACAAGATATAAGGCACTACAAAGTACCAAATGTACTTTACCAATTTGAGTAAACATATTTACATTTATTTGGGTGATGCTCTATTATCTGCTGATTATAAGGTGATTTGGTAGGCAACAAGATCAGCATGTTTTTTAGCTTGTGCTTATGAAATCCAATCCATCTCAACACAAATGATGGATCAAAATTAGACTTTTGATGGCTATTCAATTATATGCTCATCAAAAACAATATCTTGAGAGTACAAATAATCATTTCCTACACAGCTACATGTTATATTCTGAAGACCATAGAAAATGTACCTGTATCCTATGCCATTGGAACATTATGTGATAAGAAATTCTAAAATTCTAATTTGTAATTTCAAAATATTGTTAAAAAAGTGCAAACGTGTATCCGAACTATACAATTATACCCATTTAAGAATTCATTGAGTAACAACAATCCAGCCATTACTAGTTTTCCTAAGTACCACTTACAAATATTGTGTTGTGACAAATATATCCAACTAGTCAAACAGCTAAAGACACCCTGGGTTACCGATGAATTTGTTAGTTTGTCTCATGAGAGAGATAAGCTTAGCAAAAAGGCTGATAAATCAAACCATCCACAAGCTTGGAGACATTTTAAAACCTGCCAAAATCATGAAAACAGCCTGAAAACTACCTAAAAGAAGGCATATTGTCATCGGCAAATCTTATCTAAGAAGAGTAACCCTTCTGAATTGTGGAAAGTTCTCAAGATTCTTACCCCTAACTCAACACATGGTGAATTAACCCACTAGCTTAAACCTACGTACCCTACATGCTTGTTCTGAGACTGAGCCGCTCATATTTGCCAATGCTTTCAATCAGTTCTTTGCATAAATTAAGAGTTAGACTGCTTCCAAATATCCTCTACAGAATATCCACCTTTCTTTTGAAAATCAAGCTGACATTGCTCAAAATGGCTTTTCTTTGGTTGATGTGACATAATATTTTGTGCTTAAAGAATGACAATCTGTAAAAACTTATGAGGCAACAGGCTTTATTAGAGAAAACCTCACCCCAAGAAATAACTTTGACTTAGAGATTTATTAGATT